ATTCCCATTATGTTAATCAAAGAATTGTCACTAATTTTACTGTAATTTTCTTGTGGTATCTATGAGACGCGCCGCATTGCCCGGGTTCATCGCACAGTCTGTGGGTCGGTTTGACTGTTTTAGTCAGTTCAGTTAGTGGACAGTTGTCTGTTGGCCATTATTATCGCTTGCGAGCGTCCATTATCATTATCATCATTATCATTAGCATTAGCATTAGCATTGGCATTGGCTGAGCAACAAAAGCGCGACGAAAACAACGACAACGACAACGACAACGACAAGAACAACAACGATCACGACAACGGCGCAAAAACAACTGTAAAGCTCAGCAGATACAGATACAGATACAGATACAGATACAGATACAGCTAAATTTCGAGTTACAGATACTCGGCTAAGTATTTCCATGAATGAACAGACGCAGACGTTGACTTTTCAGCAGCTCTGTTGCTTTGTTTTTCATATACCCCAAACACTCTGTAAATGGTTAAAAGCAAGGGTCTATTGGTTCTGTGCAAATGTATGTAACAAGCAGCAGATATACATTCCTGGTCGCCAGGTTCGTGACATGAAGTTTGAAATATATGTATATGCTAACTACTCGCAGATATATTTCGATCAGCTTTCAATATTAATATAATATGTTCACACACTCTTACAGGTCATATGAAATCCTTGAAAGTTGCATAAAGATCGAACAACAAACACCAAAGTTATGCAAGACTGTATTGATTATAGAAAGGGTCTGGAAGAAGAAGTGTCGGAGTGTGTGCGTGTGTATGGAAGGTTGGCAAGTGATTCTAACAGCAGCTCGACGCAGGCTGCAGGGTATCTTCTAGTCAGATATTTCCGATTGGAGCACTCTTACTTGCCGTTTCTTGGTTTATTTTGCAAGCAGCTGAGAGTGTGATCTAATCTTGCTGAGAAAATGTAGACTCTTCTGAATAGAACTTTCTTGCAGAAGTGTTTTTTTGTCAATCCTAACGGATAGGCAGCTATTTTAAGTTCATATAGGTCCAATTATCCATCGAGCTTGAGTTCGGCATCGTGTTATGTTCTGTAGAACATATTGATAAGGCTTGCAGAGCGTGTTGGAGCCGCGCTGGATCAAACTTTCATTGCAATTTCGACTCTATATGAGTTAAATTGAAAAATCATCGTCTTCTTTAGCTAATTGCCAGCTGAGCTAGAAATCTTTTCGTTATTTTCCGGTTCTTAAGCGGACAAAATCGTTAAGTTTTTATTTGTTTATAGAAAGTTGGCCTGAAGAAATGTTTCGGTCAATCGGTCAGTTCGGCTGTCTGAAGGTCATTTGGCGTAGGCGCCATTTGTATACAGTTGAGCTGCATTTGGCATACTTCACCTCCCACCAGCCCATATCAATTGCCAAGCCCGAATGGCCATTTAGGCCAACGTATGCTCGAAAGCAAAAAACTAACATGGCAGAACAGAAAAACAAAAAACAAGCAGCTGCTGACAGTTGACCAGGCAACAATTGACCGATTTCCATGGCCTGCTCCTGGTCCACGCTGGCCCGCTGATAAATGAATGAGACGTTGGCCAACACCATAACCAACCGAGGAGCAGCATCGCTCCTAGTGCTAGGCGCTGACCTAGAATGCAGCCTTAGCTTTTACTGTTGTCTCTGCCCGTTCCGTTGCCCGTCTTGCCAACTGCTGTCGCTGCTGCTGCTGTTGCTGCTGCTGTTCCATTCTGTGTTCTATTCTCTGTTTTATGTGTCGTCGCTTGCAGCGCTTTGGTTACCAATACCGTTTGCTGGCAACTTCAGCGCCAACTTATTAGCATAATCTCAGCCATGGCAGCTGCAGTTGGCAGCGCAGTCGCCATCGCCGTCGCAGTCGTTGGTAAGTCTCATTATGCCTGGCCGGGCCTGACTGACACTCTGGCAGTGGCACCTCATCATCGGCGGCATCAATTCGCCGCTTGATGCATCGCCAGGCAGCGTGTGAAGAGAACCTGGCCAAAGCCGGCAACAAGCTGCAAGCTGCAACTAGCTGCTGCTGCTGCAACTAGCTGTTGCTGCTGCAGTGGAATGCTAAACATGCAGCAGCAGCGCCAGACTCAAATTCAGATTCATTTCGTTTGGTTTGTTTCGGGCTCTTATGGTAGAAATTAAAAGAGACCACGCTCAGAGACAGCCACAGCCACACTCAGAGAAAAGCTCTGTGCATAATTCGCTTAAAATCCAAACCCTTTTCATCAAATATTAACAAAGCTCAAAGATTAGTCGAAAATTCTTTCAAATTTCTTACTTGTTCTTGAAATAAGAACTTTTATTTTCCGTTCAAGCCAACTATATTCTTCACATTTGTAGGTTTTTCTCTCAGTGCATTCGTATTCCTAATTCTATTCGTATATTTTTGTATTTGTATTTGCATTGGCATAATTTCTGGCTTTCATGCCAGTGTCCATGTGTGTGTGCGCCATAACGGCATTTATAACCTTTTCATTAGCTTTTTGATTTGAAACTCAAATCTGCCTCACGTTGTGTCTCTGCCACAACTGGCTTCCCCTAGAATCTCCCCCCCTCCCTTTAGCCAACCCATTTGCCCGAACAACCGTCGCACGCCATTTACGCGCATAATTTTCGGTTAGCCAAGTTTTTCGCTAGAGTTTGTTTATATACCCGTTGAATATGGCTAGAAAGGGTATATAGTTTCGAGCGCGTGAATGTAACAGGCGAGGGAAAAGCACCGATAACTAAGAAATCTTGACGAGAATAATGTTAGGATATTGCCTCCCATTCGTATTATTTCGATGAGCTATTATTAGAGATAGATGCACCTAATTGGGTAAGAAGTAGCTGCTCGTATACTAAACAAATATTTTTGGATTATAAAGAAGCAAAACCTTAGCTGGAATATTTGTGATGGTAGCTTGACGGCGGCTTTAGGGTATCTGCTAGGCGGGCACTCTCGCATAGGGAACACTTACTATTTTTTTTTTTTTTTTGTATTTTTTGAAGGCAGCTACTATTCGACTGGATGCTGGCTTTGGCTTACGGCCAGTTCTTCAACTGTCGCTTCTCTTGGCCATGTTTAGTCAGCTAATATTGAATGAGCGGTTTGCTGGTTGTTTGTGCAACTCTTTTGAGTTTTCTATTTGCCAATTTTGGGACAATTGCGAGTGCAAATAATTCCTGATTGAGTTCAGTGATTACACGTCTGGTGCTGCCTGGTAGTTGCACTCATTACTGTCAACTTTAAATATGCTAAGTGCAATAGCAACGTCAGCTCTTACGTTATCGATAACTGTGAATGTCTGTTTAGCGGTATATCGATCCATTTACAAAGTGAACTCCGAATGCAGCAAATTATTGTATTTGAAATGAGGGTTTCCAAGTGAAAACATTGACATTTGTTGTTATCGATAACTGTGATCATATATCCATAGCCGTGCAAAAATAATGGAATAGACTAGCAAATTGCGTTTGTGTTATCGATAACTGTGTCTGTTAATCGAAATATTGATAATTTACAAAGAAAGCTCCGAATGCAGCAAACCGTTAAAGTTATTTACATTTGTTGTTATCGATACCTGTGATCATCGATAACCGTGCAAATATTTAAATTTAGCAAAATCGAAGTAAGGGTTAAAGCCCAAAGTAAACTATGCCTTTCTAGATGAAATCTCTCTGTTAAATAACTAAGCAGAAAAAAAAAATCATAGAAAAAACTTTATCAAGCTAATTAAATGCTTCTTCATTAATTGGATCTATCTCTTTGGTACAGCGTTAACATAACGAATAAAGTTCATTGAAAACTGCATGCATATGTATGCTAAGCGCTCTCTGCCAAGTTAATATCGATTCTATATACCGCGGTATATTTGCTCTGGATTGAATTCATTAGAAGCCGCCACCAATAATTCTATCATTTCAGAGACGAGGCCAATTTCCTCATCGCTCACAACTAGATCCGGCACCGTATTGAGGATTATTTGAAAGACCCGCATTCTCAGCTGATCCATTTGTATGCCAATGTCCAGGGTATTCAATATGTCGGCCTGACTCTGTGGCACATTTCGCCTAATATAACGCTGCCCCAAAACTCGATGCTCCTGTAGAATATTAAGAACATTCTCCTTAACGCACTGCAACTGCATTAGGCGATTCTCCCGATTGTTCACATTAGCCATAGCAATAGGGAAAATTTAGAAATTCCTGATATGTATTCAATGTTTACGTATTTGTGAATGTGATAACATAGTCAAAGCCTAGTTGGTATTAAACAACAATAACAATTCTCAGCCAACTTGGTAATTTTGCATTTCGCTTAGTAAAATATAAAATAAAATAAATAACATATACAAATTAAGGTACACAACAAGTTTTTCGTAATTGATTTATTATTCAAATACGTTTTTTTCAAGTAAAAATTCTTTTCTTCCTAAGCACTTTTCCAATAGACAAAGTTAAACTCTTGAGAATTCTCTTCATTCCTCTCTAATGGTCAAATGCATTTCATGTTTAGTTTCTCTGGCCGCAGGGGGTTCGGCTACATATGAAGGAAGATAAGTACATGACTTATAAGCCCTGACCCTAGCTAGACGCTGGCCCGCCTGGGTGATCCCAATCATTCAACTTTATAAAAAGCCGACAACAACAACCACAATAGAAGATTTCACTGGCCAACGAAAATGAAAACGAAATTAATTTCACAATTATAGCAATTAAACGCAAAATAAATTGTGTTTTAAGATGCAGTCAACAACAATGAGACCCCCCCCTCCCCTCGCGCAACGTCCCCCACCGGCAGTAACCAGTCGCTGGCCCGACCGTACACAGGTGCGCTCCACAAAGAAGAAGCACTGCCCAGACCGCATAGAATATATGATAAAAGCGGAAAACAAGTAATGATCTACGCACTTTTCATTACCCGTGTCCGAACCGTTGTCTGTCCGTGCCTCAGTCCCTGCCATTGTCCCCTGTCCCCTGACTGTCATCTTTATTAAATTCCAAAAGTCCATTGGCTATGGCATTGAGCTAGGCCCCTTTTCAGCTTGTTCTATTTTCTTTAACTAAAATTCAATATATATGTGGGAATATATACAAAATATATACATTTTATGTTTTTTTTTTTTTTTTTGGGTTCACATCCATAGATTTAAACGAGACAACAAGTTATAGAGGGTATTCAAGCGTCGCTGTGCCAGGTGCTCATTTATTTGGTTTTCACGTTTCTTGGACATGTTGCTCGCTTTTCATGTGGCGCATTGTAGACTTTGTGGCATTGAGGCAAAAATTTCACTTCACAGAAAGAGCACAAAAAGTCGCCACAACGACGCTTCCGATCTCGATGGCAAACTGAACCGAGCTGAGCTGAGTGGAAATAAAACTTAGATTGGGCGGACTTTGGCTTTGTGTTTCTATTATTTAGCTTTAGACCGACTTTTATATTTAGACGCTGCCTTTCTTTCATTTTTGATACACACTGTAAATGGGTATTAAAGGGTATAATGTTTCGTTGCCAAAGTGTGTAACAGGCAGAAGAAAGCATCTCCTATACTCCATCTCCTGATAGGGGAGTCGATCTAGCCAGGTCTGCCTGTCCTTATTCGTAGACGCATCAATCTTGGGTTTTACCCATTCGATTTCCCATCGATTTTGAGATTATTTTTTAACATAACTCGAAAATTATGAGAGCTTGACACAACAAACATGGAATAAAGGTTCTCATTATAGATAAAGACTATTTCATCTATTGGATACCTTCACAAAGTTCTGCTCGCCATCGGACCACAAACTTCGAAGATCTTTAAGAATGCATTATACGTAAATAAGCAATATTTTAGTTAGAAGCAGTGCAGAAAGTTTCTAGCTGGTTGCGGGGTATCTTCTAGTCGAGCACTCCTACTTTTACTTCAGTACGTCTCGTTACATTTTTACAATTTTCGTGTTAAGTTGATTTTATTTGAATGTCTGCCCGTTGCAGCGTCAACAAGTGTTCAAAGCCAACCAGACGCATATCTGGCCAGGTTTTTCGGGCATTGTTTATACTACAAAGCACACACACACACACAAACACAGTGCACAGTACATGCTCGTAAAGCTGTCAGGTTTAGGTCTCTGCACGTGTCGCACGTCTGCTTTCTTGTCATGGTCATCGCAGCTCATTGAATCTAATGGGTTTTACTTTCATTACAATTTGGACAAATGTCTGTCCACAGCGAGTTGTTGCTACTGTCGTTGATTTCACTCGCCGGCCATAGTGAGACAATTCACAATTAACACAACTAAAATTTAAACCAAGTACGCTCCCTATCAAATAAAGGTGCCAGGGCCAGGTGCTTCTTGCCAAGGATAACAGACAACTCAAGAAGTGGAAGGAAGGTCGTGGACTCAGCTAACTGCATGCAGCATGCAGATCTCTGAAAAGGTATCGCATTCCTATCGCTTTCTTATTTTCTATTAATGTTCGACTAAAGGCTGTTATGCTGCTTTTGTAATCGTCAGATTAACTTATCTAGTTTTCTTCTTCTTCTCCTGACTATAAGGCTTAGAATTAAATAGTAAATCTATCTACTGCGCACAGCTATGACTTTTTCCCAATTAATTTTCTTACCCTAATGTATTGTTTGAAAATTCGAATATTTATTGGCAGCCAGATCTTTATGAGAGAGTTTTACAGACAGAAAGTCATTTAAGGTTTTCACTTCGGCTTAGTCTGTGACTAACCCTGCTGCCTCATCCCCCTACAACTTCTATTAATTGGAAATTCTTAGCATGTTTTCGTATTAAACAAAGAGCACATATCATAAATTATGCATTTAAAAAGAGCCAATTGCCCTTTGAATAGCCGTATTCAATTTGATTTATTCTATTGATTTATTCTGTCTGCAGACAGTCTGAAGCCAGGACCGGACAATGCCATGCAAGTCGCTGGACCCCAATCTAGTTCAATAGGTGAAAGTGGTAAGCCGTAGACAAATGACAACGAATTCGAATACTCGATTCGGCATTGGCCTCGGTTTCGATTTTCGACATCGTGTGCCCCAAGCGACAGGTTATTATTCACTTTAGAATCAAATAATTGTGTCTCGTTTGGTTCAAGTCGATGCACGAGTACACTATGTGAGTGCTCGGAAATGCATCAGGAAAAGCTATGAAAGGGATATCATAGAGATTCGCGAGGGTAGAGGGTAACAATAAAATATCGATGCAAATGGTGTTTTTAAGAATCTCTCGATCATAATATCATCAGCAGACTTTGCTATAGACTCAAGGAAACGCTTTAACTTGTTGGGAATTGCAAGCATCACGCAACGAAAAGAAGCAAAGTGAACAAACTATTAAACTAGTTGCATTATTGCAGCTATAAATAGAACTTGGCTGCACTAGCTAAATGACCTGGTCTTAATACCCTTACCACAGAGCGGGGGCTAACAAATAGAGACATTATGCAAATGACAGAGTCTCCAATAAACAGCCGCCTGTCGGGCTATAAATTAGGCAGCGCAATCGAATGGAACAGCTAATGGAACTACTAAACTAAAAGATAAGCACGCCCCCTGCCGCTTCATCCTCGCTCACTCTCTCTCTCTCTCTCTCTCTCTTACTACTTACCAGCAAGTGATATGCAATCTGTGGCGCTATTTAAGAATTTGGAACATTCATGTCTCAAATTGTAATTGTAATTCTAGTTTTAATTTTGATGATATTTCTGGTTCTGGCTCTTGTCTGTTGCTGGTTCTATTGCTGTCTCAGTCTTCAGTTCCTCCGGATTCAATCTTGTAATGCGCTCTAAGTAATCGTAATGGCCACGGACACCATCTGCGCCGGCACCGGCACCGGATATGCGGCAAGAGAGACAAAACAACAATAAATCCGAAGCGGCGACGCAGTCAAGAAAGTGAGAACAGTTATGTAGTGTAACTGATGCCGTTAGATAGCATTTTCCACATACAGCAGCTAGAACAAACAACCGAAAACCCAAAAGCCAAGACAGACCCAGACACGGATAAAGACGCTAAAAACCAAACGAAGCAAAACGCTAAACAAAACCCCAAAAAAATACACACTCACAAAAAAAAAAGAGCCCTAAAACCATCCGAAAATGGTTCAAGATTGTGGGGGCTGGCGCAAAACTTTCTTCGGTAATAATGAACAGAAAAGAAAAATGAAGAAAAATAAAAGAGGCTGAAAAAAAAAGCCGAAAAAACCAAATGATTCTAAATGCATTTGTCGCCGTTGGCGGGCTCAGGCATCTTTGACTTGGCCCTGGCGAAAAAGGCTGTGAAAAATAGTTTTCGATTTTCGTTATGGTTTTTCCACAGTTCGATTGATGGCTGTAGGGCTCACGTTTCTTGTATTTTCCATTTCCTATACCCTATGTTTCTAAGACTTTACATGGCATAGGGTATGCGTGAACTGAGCAAGTGTATGTAACGCACGGCATTAGGCATATATTCTAATTAGATCCAATTAGATCTGATTACTCCAACGATTGAACATGGTCAAGCTAAAGGGGCGAGTTAAAGACTGGAATTTTGGAGCATGTTTCTTGACTTTTTCTAAAATGGCGACTACAGGGTATCTGTTAGTCGATCGCTTATGACCACAACATTCTTAGCTGTTCCAAGCTCATTTGCGCATACCATTACGTGCATTTTCCCAACACAGAATGGGCACAACCTGAGCCTGTGACCAAGATGAAGCCTGGATGTGAGCCACGGCCGACTAGATCATCTGCCTCCCGAGGGAAGAAAGTGATTCCTGATAATTGGGCGCCGACAAGCGGACAGTGAAAGCTCGCGCGGGCTCAGACACGAACTCAGTTAACCATATTTTTGTTTTATTCTTACATTTTTGGGGGATTTGCCAGCTAGAAACTAGGAACTGTTCTAAGCGCAATAGGAAAGTGCGCCCAAAGACGAGGCTAATGTAACTGCAACTGCAACTGCAACTGCAACTGCGGCACGCAGTCAGTCATCATTTGTGGGGGCTTTCGGGCATTTGATTTAAGTTCTGTGGCAGCGGAACAGCAGCGTAACCAAGCGAGCAAATCCAGGGAACGTGCTGTGACAATTGACAGTTAGATGCGTTTTGTTCAGTTAGAAATAAGCTGCCGGCAGTTGGCACAGCAACCTGCAACCCGGCAGCTGACATTATGATGTCATCAAGCTCAGAGCCAGAACTTACTCGTAGATATAGAGTACAACAAATATCTGCGGACTGTCAACGGCTTTGGCTCACATACTCGGGCAATTTTCGTAGGCCTTGACTCGAAACCAAGCGAGATCTGCGATTAACAGCAAGACCAACAACAAACCAGAATTTATAGCCTAGTGCAGCACGCCGAAGATTAAATACCCTTTTCAAATAAGATGCAGATATGCAAACAAGATGATATGTCAAAAGAAAGATGCGGCTATTTCCACCCTTCTCGCGACATTGATTAGGAATATATAAGCATTATGATAAAAGGATTCGATCCATGAACAGAAATATTTGGCTATATCAGCACAACTCCCGACTTCGATCAGGAATATGTATGTATATGCACACTGGGATATCTAATTATGTGTATATGGTGTTGAAATTGTCTCCGTTACACATTGCTTGAGAAATTTCTAATACCCTGATCGGGCGCATAAAAAGACATTGACATCGAATACACTTATCTTGCTGCCAAGCATGAAGATGAACAATCCATATACACTACACGACTATATACAATAACATATAGTGTATGCCGTATTTGGTATATCTGTATATCTGCTGTCTGTTGTTTGCAGTACGTGTTCATTAACTGTTAGAGTTAACTAACTAAATCGGAGCGACAAAGCTCTGTTGTACATCTGTTCAGTTTACTTAGAGCAGGGTTCTGGAACCAATTCCCGTGCTCAGCCGATCAAATCTAAAGACAATCAACTTTCGCGCTCATATATAATTATGAATTGGATAAACGACTGCTCGTTAAGAGCTTTACGAGCTCATGCCAATGGCTTAACAGATGGCTAACAAAACATTCCCAAGAACTCATATGTTCCATGCTTAAATTGAATTTTAAGGCCCTTAACTTTTGGTTCATTACAAAAATTCGAATATGACTGCCAAATTACCGACTATTTTAGAAACTAACTAAGGCTACATTGTCACGGAATGCATTTTTCATTTTGAAAACAAATTGGAATGGAACGAATGGAGCTACATTCGTTAAGAGTCATACAGATATGTATGGGAAAATGTTGCAAATCACGTTGACATGTGAACTGGCTTTTCAGTCAATGCTTTAGAGAGAGAGAGAGAGAGAGAGAGAGAGAGAGAGAGAGAGAGAGAGAGAGAGAGAGAGAGAGACAACTAATGGTGCTCATAGGCATTCAATTTTCAGAATAGCTGTATTAAGAAATACATTTATGCATGAAAAAGTACTACGCTAACGTGTGACTGGCATTTCAATCAATACTTTAATGAAAGCAAGCAAAAGCATTCAGAAGGATACGGATAAAATGGAATGGAAGGAACCGAATGATTCGACATTCATAATGAACAATATGAAATGTACTACGGTCGCATGTGAATGGCATTCCACTCAATACTTTAGGGAAAGCTAATGGCTACCATGAGGATAAATATAGGAGATAATTAATAAAATTGAAACGCATTACGTTAACATGGTAATGGCATTTAGTCACTTTAAAGATATCTA